ATTATTACAAAGAAACTCTGGAGTTGAAAGTACAATAACAAATGAAAAATTCACTAGAGGGGGCTCAACAATTTACTTGAACTAGCAGAAGAGTCAATGAAAAAGACTGATAAAAATCATGAAATCTGAAGTATATAGAAAAAACAAAGAAAAATGGATAAAGCCTTAGAGAAACGTGCAGAACACCATTAAGGGCACCTGCATACACGTAAGTGGAGCGCAGGGCCGGGAAAAAGAAATGAGCGGGAAAAATATTTAAAGAAATAAGGGCTGAAAACGTCCCAAATTTGATGAGAAATCTCTATCTACATATCCAAGAAGCTCAATGTATTCCAAGAAGGATAAATACAAAGAGATCCACACCCAGACACATCCTAGTGGAATGACAAAAGACAGAGAAAATCTTGAAAGTAACATGAAAGAACTGATTTGATAATTTACAAGCAAACCCCTGTAAGGTAACAGCCAACTTTTCATCAGAAACAAGGGAAGCCAGAAGACTGGTGGATGACATATTCAAACAATTAATTCAAATGCACGTTCACTCAAACATTTAGCTGAGCATTTGTTATGGATTACTAAACAAGTGCTGCTTTAAATATTTTATAATCAAGTGTATGTGGAAAAGATTAAAGTGGGCTTATTCTTATATTCAACGTGTTGAAAGACAAAAAAAACCAAACAAACATGATCTTATATCCCATAAATCTATCTTATATAAAAGAAAGAAAAATAAAGACATTTCCAGATAAAGAAAATCTAGCAGATTTTGTTACTAGCAGCCCTACTTTACAAGACTAATGGAAAAGTTCTTCAGGGTGAAAATCATTGACCCCAGACAGTTATCTGAATCCATACAAAAAGAAAAGAGCATCAGAAACAGTAATTATGTAATTATAAAGAGACAGCATGAATGCATATTCCTTCTCTTCTCTTCTTACAAATAATTTTAAAAACCAGTTGCATAAAACAATAGGCGCACACTGCACTGCCAGTCCCATCACTTGTGGAGATGTATTTTACAACAGTACAAGCGAAGGTGGACTGGAGTAAAGAAACAGTACCAGACGTGAACTTGGACCCACAAGTGAGGAGAGCCAGAGCGGGGACACACAACAACAGTCTTGTTCAAAATCTGGAAAGGAGTACGTCAAGGCTGCATCTTGTCAACTTGCTTATTTAACTTACATGCAGAGTGTGAAAGTGTCAGTTGCTAGGTCACGTCTGACTCTCTGCAATCCCATGGACTGTAGCCTGCCAGGCTCCTCTGTCCACAAAATTCTCTAGGCAAGAATACTGGAGTGTGCTGTCATGCCTTCCTCCAGGGGATCTTCCCAACCATGGGACTGAGCCTGGGTCTCCTGCATCTCAGGTGGATCCTTACCATCTGAGCCACCTGAGAAGCCCTACATGCAGAGCACGTCATATAAAACGCTGGGCTGGACGAACCTTAGGATGGAATCAAGATTGCTGGGAGAAATATCAGTAACCTCAGATATGCAGAGGACACCACCCTCATGGCAGAAAGAGAAGAGGAATTAAAGAGCCTCCTGATGAAGGTGAAAGAGAGTGAAAAAGATGGCTTAAAGCTCAACATTCAAAAAACGAAGATCATCGCATCCGGTCCCATCACTTCATGGCAAACAGATGGGGAAACAATGCAAACAGTGACAGACTTTATCTTCTTGGGCTTCAAAATCATTGCAAATGGTGACTGCACCCATGAAATTAAACGATGTTAGCTCCACTACTTTGGCCACCTGATCCGAAGCACCGACTCATTGGAAAAGACCCTGATGCTGGGAGAGATTGAAGGCAGGAGGAGAAAGGGATGACAGAGGATGAGATGGTTGAATGGCATCACCAATTCAGTGGACACAAGTTTGAGCAAATTCCAGGAGATTGTGAAGGACAGGGAAGTCTGGCATGCTGCAGTCCATGGGATCACCAAGAGTCGGACACAACTAAGCAACTGAACAACCAAACTCTATGCATATATACTTGTTTTCCTTTCCTTTACCAAGTTCTTAAAATATCGTAAGATTATACAGCCACATCTTGTTCAGTTTATAACATATCTAGATGTACTATGCATAATAACAGCAGCACAAGAAAGGGAAGAGGAGCAGAGCTATTCAAGAGGTGAAGAAGGGTCAAGCCAGTCAGTCATGTCTGACTCTTTGCAACCCCATGGACTGCAGCCTGCCAGTCACAGGAATTCTACAACTCCCAGGAATTCAGAATGGAAGTGAAGTCAGTTCTGATAAGATGCACGCGGTAAACCTTAAGAGTACTAACCACTAAAAAAAAAAAAAACCTCCAAAAATACATTGAAAAAAAACCATTAAGGGGATTAGAACATTTTACACTGGAAAAGAGCACTTAAAGAAAAAGAACATAAAAAAGGGGAAACAGGTGGGGAAAAAAAATCACACATAGAAAACAAGGAAAATGGTATATTTCTATGAATATAGTAAAAACCACTGAATTGTGTACTTGAACTGGGTGAATTATATCTAAATAATGCTGTTAACAAAAAAAAAAAAAAGGAACTTCCCTGGTGTTCCAGTGGCTAAGCCTCCACACTCCCAATGCAGGGAGGGGGGGGCCCAGGTTTGATCCCTGGTTAGGAAAGTAGATACTATATGTGGCAACTAAGACCCGGCACAGCCAGATAAAAAAAAAAAAAAAAGGTCGGGGGAGAGGGCAGAACCAAGCTGGAGATGGCTTCAGCTACATGACTTGCTTGAGGAGGGGTCAACCCAATAGGTAAAAAGCTAGCCCACTTCAACAGTCATTCAGAGGATGGGCTGTCAAGTCCTCAAAGGAGAGTTTACTTCCCGCACCTCACATAAAGTATCGAGAATCTCTCTTCCTCAGGGTCTCCGAGTTTGCAGGGCATTTGGTGCCCCTCCTCCCCTCAGGGGAAATGTGTTCCCCTAGAGGCCCTGGTGAGTGACCCTGTCCCTGTCTACACCGCATGACCACTCTGCCCTGGCCTGGATCACTGTTGTGGTGGACTGGACAGCAGAAGCCGCCTGACCCAGGCGTGCCCTGCCGACTGCCTATTTAAGAGCCTTGAAAGGCTAGCTCGGAACTGTGAAAAAGAGATGCCAGTGTCATTAGCTCTGACAACCAAGATTGAGGGTCCTGAGGCTGACTGAAGGTCAAGTGACAAGCAGGTTAGGTCCTGGCTGGCAGGGAGATGTGGACAGGAAGCAGCCTTGGGCTCTGACAGCTCCCCAGGTGAGGCCTGTGAGAGCCAGCGGCATTCCACTCCCAACCCTGGCCTTGCATGGGCTCCATCTTTATAATAAACCTCAGTTTTGTTTTGTTTTTTCATGAGCTAGCTGGAATAGCTTTCAGCTTCTTGCAGTTGATTGAACCCTATAATACCTTTTCTTACTCTGTCCCCAAGGAAGATGGACAACAACTGCTCGCCATCTTCAGCAATAATCTTTCTCACATTTGACAAGTACTAAGCTTTCCTAAGAGGAAGAGATGGTTGGAGGGCATCACCAACTTAATGGACATGAATTAGAGCAAGCTCTTAGCAGAGACATTACTTTTCCAACAAAGGTCCATCTAGTCAAAGCTATGGTTTTTCCAGGAGTCATGTATGGATGTGAGAGTTGGACTATAAAGAAAGATGAGTGCTGAAGAATTGATGCTTTTGAACTGTGGTGTCGGAGAAGACTCTTGAGAGTCCCTTGGACTGCAAGGAGATCCAACCAGTCCATCCTAAAGGAAATCAGTCCTGAGTNGTGTTGGAGAAGACTCTTGAGAGTCCCTTGGACTGCAAGGAGATCCAACCAGTCCATCCTAAAGGAAATCAGTCCTGAATGTTCATTGGAAGAACTGATATTGAAGCTGAAACTCCAATACTTTGGCCACCTGATGCGAAGAAATGACTCATTTGAAAAGACCCTGGTGCTGGGAAAGATTGAAGGCAGGAGGAGAAAGGGATGACAGAGGGTGAGATGGTTGGATGGCATCACCGACTCAATGGACATGAGTTTGAGTAAACTCTGGGAGATGGCGATGGACAGGGAGTCCTAGCGTGCTGCAGTCCATGGAATCGCAAAGAGTCGGACATGACTGAACAACTGAAGTTTTCCTTGAGGCTAAATAACCTCAAAGCCTCAAATCTCACAAAGTGGGACAGAGTTTCTTTTTCTGTGTATTTAGATAAGTTAGCAATTCTTACTTATGGAGTAAGTCAGCCTAAAACTGAACACAAATATTACTGAACACTTGCTGCGGGGCCAGAAACTGCCAGGAGCTGGGGTTTCTGCTGAGTCTCTTCAGTCGTGTCCGACTCTGTGTGACCCCATAGATGGCAGCCCACCAGGCTCCCCTGTCCCTGGGATTCTCCAGGCAAGAACACTGGAGTGGGTTGCCATTTCCTTCTCCAATGTATGAAAGTGAAAAGTGAAAGTGAAGTCGCTCAGTTGTGTCCGACTCTTAGCGACCTCATGGAGTGCAGTCTACCAGGCTCCTCCACCCATGGGATTTTCCAGGCAAGAGTACTGGAGTGGGGTGCCATTGCCTTCTCCGAGGAGCTGGGGTTAGAGACAGACAAAGCAGCCCCAGGTCTCCAGCCACCTGCTCTGGCTGCTACGCAAGGCACCATATTCTTTGTCATCACCACCAAAACCTTAGGCCTTCCCAGGTGGCGCAGTGGTAAAGAATCCGCCTGTCAATGCTGGAGATGTCAGACATAACAGGTTCAATCCCTGGGTTGGGAAGATCCCCTGGAGAAGGAAATGGCAACCCATTCCAGGCTTCTTGCCTGGAGAATTCCATGGACAGAGGAGCCTGGTGGGCTACAGTCCATGGAGTCACAAAGAGTCAGACATGACTAGGCAACTGAATGCATACACGTGCACACACACACACATCCACCCACCCCACCCCCAAAACTTCAGGGACAACTTCAAAGAAAGAATCTGCGAAGAAGGTCTCAGGGTCCCAGCCTTCCTCTTCCCGGTGGGAAATACCTGATAGAAGTCTGTTTTCTCTGCAATGACTTTCAGTATTCCTGGAGCTATGGGAGGAACCGTCACCATCTGCAGCTTGCCGAAAAATGGGTTGTATCCGGAGCTTTTATAGCGTTTCATCTTGTCTTCGATGACGAGGGCGAGGGACTGGGAGTGGTTGATCACTTCGAGCAGGGTGGAGATGGCCACGTTCTGGAGGTAGCAGTCAGTTACACAGCAGCAGATGGTCATCAGGGACTTCAGCCAAGGTGGAAAACCAGAATCGCCCGCTCCTGAAAGGATGACAACCAGAGAGGATGAAGACACACAAAACCTCTCGAGACTGGCTCACTAGCCAGCGGCCTCTAAGACCTTCCAATCCAGGAGGCCACCTGCATAGCAGTGTGATAACCTCCCGGTGGTGACACAGTCCACTGTCCCCATTCAGGGCCAGGGGACCGATGAGACCAGAGTCATGTGCTAACAGACTGTTCAAGTTCTGCAAATGTCATTCTTGGGGCTTTGAGATGATTCAAAACACGCTTCTCTTGTTTAAAAATTTTGTCAATGATGGAACTTTCCCAGTGGTCCAGTGGTTGAGAATCTGCCTGCGGCACAGGGGACACGGGTTGGATCCCTGGTCTGCCAAGATCCCACACGCCTTGAGACAACTAAACCTATACCCTACAATGACCGAAGCCTTCGCGCCCTGGAGCCTGCGCTCTGCAACAAGAGACGCCACCGCAACGGGAAGCCTGTAGGCCACAACTAGAGGGTAGCCCCCGCTCACCACAGCTAGAGAAAGCCCTTGAGCAGCAATGAAAGGCCCATGCACCGCAACAAAGACCCAGTACAGCCACACACAGACACAAAATGTAAACACAGTAAAATCTGAATGAAAATACTTGTAAAATTTACATATAGTAAAAGTTACACTTGTTGGTGCGGAGCTCGAACGTGTTTTCAGAGTTCTCTTGGTGGTAGGGCGCATGGCATTAGCTTTACAAGAGGCTAAAAATATAATGAAGATATCAATTCTAAATGCATTTCTTCCAAGTATACTGTCATCTGCAGCTCTGGAGTCAAGAGACACATTGCATGGAACGTTTAATAGAGGTGATAATGAGAGGGGAAATCTTCACCCTCAGCTCCTACCAACTTAATCACTCTTCTTTTCTTACACCTTCCCCTTGATCCTTTTTTCTTTAAAGTCTTCACTGCCTGCAATGGACTCAACCGCATGTGCTCAAAATTCACATGCAAATGCCCCAGCTCCCCAGGGTAACAGTATTTGGAGGGGGTGCCTGGGTCCAGATGAGGGCCTGAGGGCTGGCCGACATGATGGGGTTGGAGCCCTTATTAGAAGACACCAGAAAGACCCCCTACACGCCCCCCCACACATCCCAGGATGTGAACATGTGAGAAGGTGGCAGTCTGTAACACAGGGACGGGTTCTCACCAGACGCCGACCATGCTGGCACCCTGATCTCAAATTTCTAGACCCAGAGCTGTGAGAAAACACATTTCTGCGGTTTAAGTCCCCCCAGCCTACGGTATTTTGTTGTGGCAGCCTGGGCTTAACGTGCTGCCGGTAACAGTTTAAACTGCATCCTCACAGAAATTCTTATGTTGAAGTTTATAAACCCGTAGGACCTGAGAACGACCCTCTTGGGAAACTGGTTGCAGACGTAATGACTTAAAACAGGCCCTGGTAGAGAAGGAGTGGGTATAATCCAATATAACGGGTGCCCTGAGTGCATGCGTGCTAAGTCGCTTCAGCCGTGTCTGACTCTTTGCAACTCTACGGACTGCAGTCCACCAGGCTCCTCTGCCCATGGGATTCTCCAGGCAAGAAGGCTGGAGTGGGCTGCCATGCTCTTCTCCAGGGGATCTTTCTGACCCAGGAATTGAACCCGTGCTTCCTATGTCTCCTGCATTGGCAGGCGGGTTCTTTACCACTAGCGCCGCCTGGGAAGCCGAATGGGCATCTTAGAGAAGGGAAACGGGAACACGGACATGTACAAGGGAAGAATGCCATGGAAAGATGAGGGCTGGGTTCCCACTGGCCTAGGAACCACCAGAGGCTGGAGGAGTGGCCGGAACACACCCTTCTGAAGCACCTTCAGAGGGAGCGCGGCCCTGCCAACACGCTGACCTCAGACTTCTGGCCTCCAGACCGTGAGACAACACATTTCTGTGGTTTAAGCCGCTCGGTGGGTGGTACTTTGCTATGAGCCCTGGCACACAACGCATAAAGCTTTAGTAACAGGTCTCACGAAACAGTCTACGTACTGACTAGGGTGAGGCTCCTTTTATGTCTCAGACCTTTTAACAGGCTGTGCTGGGCACCCGAAGGTTAAAAAATACAGACCCAGGGGCTTCCTTGGTGGTCCAGGGGTTAAGATTCTGCGCTTCCATTGCAGGGGGCGTGGGTTCAATACCTGGTCAGGGAACTAAGATGTCACATGCCACGTAGTGTAGTGTTGGTGGCTCAGTCGTGTCCGACTCTTTGTGACCCCATGGACTGTGACCCGCCAGGCTCCTCTGTCCATGGGGATTCTCCAGGCAACACTACTGGAGTGGATGATCCCTTCTCCAGAGGATCACCCCAACCCAGGGATCAAACCCAGGTCTCCTGAATTGGAGGCAGATTCTTTACCGTCTGAACTACCTACAGGGAAGATCCCACATGCCATGAGGTGCAGCCAAAAAAGAAAAGAAAGGAATTGTAAAGATATAGAGGGAGCTTCCTTAGGTTTCCGTCTGGTAAAGACAAACCCAAACCGTATACAGTAACTATGAAACAAGGAAGGAAAATGGGGGTGGGCAGACAGCGCCCTCTCAGTCGCTGTGAAATTTTAACTCCTCTATAACCCTCAGGGGCCCGAGGCTCCCCGACCCCTCCCGGCAGGCTCCCGGGGCGCCCCTCACCCGGAGGCTGGAAGAGGACCTCACAGAGCCGCTCCGTCTCCTCCTCGGACAGGTACACGGGGAAGGTGGCGCACTCCAGCAGCAGGTGGCAGGCGGCTGCGAAGGCCTCCCGGACGCCCTCCCGGGAGCCCCCCAGGTCAAGGACCACCTGGTCCACGGCCCACCCCTCGTCTTTCTTGCGGCCAGGGCTGTGGGGCGGGGGTGAGGGCAGCTCCACACTCCTGGCCTTGAAGGGGGACCCTCGGGCCGTGAAGAGGTCAGAGAGCATCTGCTTGAACTGGGGCACGCCGCCCAGGGGCCGGGCCTCCCATGAGCCCTTCCCGCTCTCATCCCGCCGGCCCGCAGGCTCCTCCGCTGACTTGGCCTCTTCCTCGGATGCTGTCAGCTGCGCCCCGAAAATGTTCTTGTGGGCGAAGGTGGCGATCAGCTCCTGGATGCAAAGGAACGTCTTCTGCATGCTCCCGCCCTTCTTCCAGACGTCGTCTTTGTCCGGGGAAACCCGGGGCACCCGCAAGTGCTCTGAGAGCTCGGGCGACGAGGCGCTCAGCCCGATGCCGCTGTCCTCTGATTTCAGCGGGGGAAACGGTGCGTCTTCGTCGCCCACGGGCACTGCATCTGTGTTGGCAATCACTACGGTGTTTTCACCTCTGACCGGACTCTGCAAAAAAAAGAAAAAGGAAGTCTGTATCGTGGATCTTGTAAGACCGAGGGGTTCAAACATCAAGGGAATCAAGCTATGAATGCATCCTCCCTGAGACCACAGTTTTCCACGCCAAGAGGATCTCCATGTGTATCATCAGATGGCCCTCTTCATACTAGTTATTCAGACCCTTCAGAATCCAAAAAGGTTATTTAAAAACAGTTTCTGCCAGCAGGGACCCACTGTACGGCACAGGGAACACTGCTCAGTGTGACGTGGCAGCCGGGATGGGCGGGGAGTCGGGGAGGAAGGATGCACGTGTGTGGACAGCCGGGTCACTCTGTTGTGCACCTGAAACTAGCACAACCCTGTTCATCGGCTCTCCTCCACTACAGGCTTCCCAGGGGGCGCCGGGGGTCAAGAATCGGCCTGCCAGTGCAAGAGACGCAGGTTCCATCCCTGGGTGGGGAAGATAGCCCAGAGGAGAAAATGGCACCCGCCTGCAGTAGCACTGCCTGGAGAATTATGTGGGCCTGGGGGGCCAAACACACCGGCTGTGACAGACCACACAGAAGCACGGACATGAAGAAATGCAGATGACACCACCCTTATGGCAGAAGTGAAGAACTAAAAAGCCTCTTGATGAAAGTGAAAGAGGAGAGTGAAAAAGTTGGCTTAAAGCTCAACATTTGGGAGTTGGTGATGGACAGGGAGGCCTGGCATGCTGCGATTCATGGGGTCGCAAAGAGTCGGACAAGACTAAATGACTGGGCACAGTACTCCAACGTGAAATAGCCAAATTTTAAGAAAGCAAAATGAAATGAAAAAAAAAAGTTTCTGACATTTAAGAATACGAATGAGGAAACTGGGTTGAGCATAAAATACAGGCATAAAGGAATGAATAAGAGACAGCAAGAACAAAATATTAACCACATACATGACTCACACACACACACATGTACATACATTCTGTGGCTTTTTCAAAAGGATGACACTTCAATGAATCAACCTCTTACATACTGTTACTCAGGGAATACTACATTAAACTGAAAACTTATCATCACCTGACCCACTCTCTGGGGAAGAATGATACAGTATTATGTAAATGTTTGGAAACATTGTTATTTATATCTGTACATGACACATGCTTGTACTTTACAGTTTACATCCTTTTTAGGATTTTTCCAACAGCTGTAACAGCTAGGGGAAGAAAAAAACTAGCTTTGAGAGGGAAGGAAGAACCGGTAACTACTCTGCAAGCTGAGCTTCAAGCCCCACGGGCAGCCCACCTGCCTCCCAGCACTAACCAACACGCATGGCTCTCCTTTCAGGAAAAGGAAAAAGTGAAGTTGCTCAGTCAGTCGTGTCCGACTCTTTGCAACCCCATGGACTGAGGAGCCTGGAGTGGGTTGTCATTTCCTTCTCCAGGGGAGCTTCCCGACCCAGGGATTGAACCCAGGTCTTCCGCACTGCAGGCAGACACTTTACCCTCTGAACCACCAGGGAAGCCACCCTCCTTTCAGGAAAGCTTTCCTTTTTTAGCCTGTTCCTATCTGCCACTGCACCGAATGGCTCTCAAGGGCAGAACTTTCAAATCCCTGAACAAAGCAGAAAATAAAAAATAATTCAAAGACCATGGGCCTCAAGCTGCTCGTGGAACCATATTGTTATAGTCTTTTTGGAGGACAGTTTGGCAGCATCTCTTCACATTAAGAAATGGGCTTGATTCCCGTTTCTAGAAACTGATTCCTCAGAGACACTGTCAGTCCTGAGAGCAGGTTGTATGAAGATGTTGACAGCAGCACTGTAGCAGTGAAAAGCTAGAAATAACTGAAAAAAACAAAAACAAAGACAACCTCGATAGGGGAGTGGTTGAAGAAACAGTGAAACCAGCAAGATACCTCTGTCTGTATACAGATACAGATGCTCTCCGAGGAGTGTTTGGATGAAAACCAAAGCAAATCAGAGAAATAATGTCTGTTATAGGTTGAATTATGCTCCCTTAAGAAAAAAAAAAAGTGCTGAAGTCCTGACACCAGTACCTGTGACTGGGATCTTATTTGGAATTAGGGTCCTTGCAGATGACCAAGTGCAGTGAGGTCATTAGGTGGGTCCTAATCCAGTATGATGGGTGTCCTTACAAAAAGGTGGAATCTGGACACACACAGATATGCACACGGGGGAGATATGTGAAGGCGGAGGCTGAGACTGGGGCGGCGGGTCTACAAGTCAAGGAACGCCAGGAACATCAGAAGACAGGGGCAATGCACGGAACAGACACTCCCTCATAGCCTAGAAGGAACCACCCTGACACCTTAGCCTCGGACATCTGGCCTCCGGAGCTGTGACACGGGAACTTTCTGCTGTTCTGTCACCCAGCGTGGCACTTTGTTACTGCAGCCCCAGGGACTACCATCTCACTTGTACTTAAAAAAAAAAAAAAGCAAAACTCCTCATATACAAACATGCACATAGAAAGGTCGAGATGGTGAGCTGTGTGTAACCATTAGCTTAGTAGTGGGCTTCAGCCGAAAGACAGCAGGGCAGAGGGTGAAATGAACGGGGTTACTTCAACACGACAAGCTTTCATGAAGCGTATGAGGCTCTTAGGAGCACGTTTTGGATATTACCGATACGTCTTCTAGCCTTTATTCCTACCCAGGGAGGCCCAAGGGCCCGTCAGCCAGGAAAAACCACACCGGCTCCTCCCAGCACGTACCAAGCTCCCACTGGTGGGCTCCGTGTCCAGGTAGGAAGGCGGCATTTGGACCTTGCTGAGCACTTTGAAGCAGGTCCTCAGGGCGTGTGTGAGCTCGGACAAGCTCAGCATCTCCATCTCCTCGGCCAGAGGCTGCAGCAGGCAGCCAAGCATCTGTGGGAGGCACTGGGTTTGCACCTCTGAGTAAAGTTCCTGTGAAACAGAGGCGGGTTTAACTCATGTGTCATCAGCAGCAAGCAGCGCCTTAGAAAACACAAGTGTTTTCTCAGCGTAAGTTTGTTCCATGTTTTTTTCCAAGTCGGAAAACAAAATAGTATTTCTTCTTGATCTAAATACATCCATGGACATTCTCTCCTTTTAAGTGGCTTCCCTCTTTCTAGTAGAAAATGACTGCCAAATTCATGTCTCTATTAAGGGAATCTGCTTCCTTGGAGAAAATTAGCCAAGGATGCAACTTTAAGAAATAGGTTTACTTTCTGGGACTTCCCTGGGGGTCCAGTGGTTAAAACTCCATGCTTCCAAACGCAGGGGGTGAGGGTTTGATCTCTGGTCAGAGAACCAATGTGCCGGGGCAGCGGGACCACAATTTTTTTTTAAAAAAGGAATAACAATTCTTCCCTGGTGGCTCAGACGGTAAAGAATCCACCTGCAATGCGGGAGACCTGGGTTCGATCCCTGGGTGGGGAAGATCCCCTGGAGAAGGGAAAGGCTACCCACTCCAGCGTTCTTGCCTGGAGAATCCCATGCACAGAGGAGCCTGGCAGGGTACAGTCCATGGGGTCGCAAAGAGTCAGACTTTCATTCTAACTATCTATACATCATGATACTCATTCCTAAGTAACTGCTGTCCAAGGATGCCACCCAGCTCCTTATCTGTTCTCTGTAACTTCAGCTCAGCCCACTTACCACTGGCTGAAGAGTTATAACCCCTTATATCACAAGGGCCTAAAAGATATGCGATCACATCTTCCATGCTGAAACAAACATTAAAAGTGCTATGTGTCTATTTACAACCACTTCTTCAGTAAGATGGTGGGGTGGAGGTGGTTTAGTCACTAAGTTGTGTCTGACTCTTTGCGACCCCAGGGACTATAGCCTGCCAGGCTCCTCTGTCCGTGGGGATTCTCCAGGCAAGAATACTGGAGTGGGTTACCATTCCCTTCTCCAGAGGATCTTCCCGACCCAGGGATCGAACCCAGATCTCCCGCATTGTAGGGAGATTCTTTACCGACTGAGCTATATGAGAGAAGTCCCTTGGTAAGATGAGGTTTAGAAAAAGACCAACACCACAAATAAGAATGTATATGACAGCCAGCACAGAGCCATCTCTTGAGAGCAAAGGACTTACCAGGGGGATCACGTCCAGAAGGAACACGAGGAGGGTGCAGAGCTCTGAGACCGTCGGGGGAGGGCCGATGCTCCTCCCAACACTGGGACTCCGCTTCGTGGTTCTGCGTGAGTCATAGGAAAGAAAAGCCACTCTCTTGTAATACTGTCAAGCAATTTCTATGATTTCCAATAAAGTTATTTGTTCTATTTCAACCACACTGAAAGACAGCTTCTGTAGGTCTAATAATTCAGCCTTGATGCCGAAAACGATCTGACACAGAGAAGCGTCAGTAAGTCTTGAATCTGATTATCTCCGAAACAGGTTGACTCTGACTTGAACTTTATCACAGCAGCCGAGGGTGGTCCATGCCCCCATGGGATTCCATACCCATCTGATCTCAAGCTGTCAACAGCAACAATTCCAGGTCCGCAGCCCGAAACCAAAGGCATGTTCCCAGGGAAGGAGCCTGGCTACAGAATGCAGGACAGCTCTCTGATTTGCTGTGGGAGCAACCAGAGATAGTGCCCCCACCCGCCCCAACCCTGCGTCGTCCCCGTGAGCCTAGAATGCCTCAGCTCCCAGAGAACTGCTGCTCCACTGGGGAACTCTACTGGCAGCTGCTTATCTTATTCTCAAACACTTCCTTTTCAGTAAGTAGGCAACTGGACACCTAAGTTAAAAAATCAATATATTGGTTCTCAAAACAACAAATTTTGGATTCATCTTGCTATCACAGTATAGTTCGACCTGAGTTAACTTTCTTCCCTGTAAATGATCGCTTAGGTATGTCAGTGTTTATCTGGGTAAGGAATGGAAGAACTGCATTCACTAGGTCCAGGAGAGTCTGCTCCTAGGTGCCTATTCTAAACGGACCCCCAGGTCTGCATGTAGAGACGGGACCAGTGTGGTCAGCAGGGTACGACCTGCAGTGATTAAAAGACTGAAACTGGTTTATTCTCACGCTGGATGACTGCACCCAAGGTAAACCCACCAGGTGTGTAAGTCACCACACAGATCAATCTCCAGAGGGCTTCGACTCCCACCTCCCAACCAAACACGCAAGGGTGAAAAGTTATATACAATTTGATACCATTGATGTAAAACTTGAAGAGGCAAAACAGACTGTATCATTTCTGGATACTTGTTTTTATACTGGATACTTTTTTAATCTTTGTTATAAAAGCACAGACATCACTGGGACAGACATGAACTTCAGGACAGTGATTAAAGCTGGGATGAAAGGAGGGAAGCCAGTGGGAATGTAAGGGGTTAGCTCTGTCTGGGTGGTAACGTTTTATTCCTTTAAAAAAAAATGTGAAAACCAAAAGTCAAATACTGTCCACGATTTTAGCAATGGGTTCAAGTGTGTCTGACATTATTTCCCATCTTTTCCTGCGCCTGAAATGTTTCATAGTTAATTTTCTTTTTTAAAGAAAGTGTTCCTCATAACTCTGAAATGGAACTAAGCTGACCAAAACACACTCTGGTCTCAGTATAACATGGCCTTGCTGTCACCGTGGATCCAATTACAAGTAATTTATTCATCGCAGATTGGAGCGCCTGCTGGGCCTGGCACCAGAAGTGGCAAGAACACGGCAGGAGCAGCTGGGACGTCAGGCAGGCAGGCCTGGTTCCAGGCTCAGCTGCTGCTGATCTGCTGTGCTGTGTCACACGGGACCCGTCAAGTCTCTGATCTCGGGCTCTCCTGCATGATGGATGTGCCTCCTTCTCCTGGGAGTGTGTGCAGGGGGTGGCCTGAGACCAACGTTAGTAAGTTACGCTTTGATTACAGCTGCAGGTATGGAAGTCAGTGTGACAGCGCAGGCCGTTCCAAAGGGGCGATAGGAATTCAGTTCTATAGCATGAATCACAGGACAGAACTGGGTCTGAGAGATTACACCCGTCCTCCTTTACAGGGAAAATCTCCTGGGAAAGGGCCCTGAGGGGAAGCTTGCAGTCCCAAGCTGGCCACCGTCCCACAGTTTGGAGTCGGTGCAATACACCAGATTGATTGAAAGTGACGGGAAAGCTGATTGCGGCAGCTCAGAACATAAATGATTTCATCTGAACAGTTATACGCTGATTTCAGGAAGAATTTAAGATGACTGATGATTTAAAAAACACTCTCTCTCCAGTCCCTGGGCCCCAAAACCAAGCTTGTTGGATAGATCAGGCCTCTAAGGGCACCGTGGGAAGAAACCGGATTAGACTGACGCCAACCAGGAAATGCATGGGTTTGTTTCTAAAGTTTGACTTTAATAAGGAAGCATCAGCATCATGTGAACCGTCTCAATGGCAACGTTCTTAATTCTATTATGAGTTTAAGTGAATCCAATCATGTACTCAGCAGTGATCATCCCAGTGTTAGCCGTTGAGTATAACCTGACCACAATGAGCAGCTATGAAAATTCACGACAGCCTCAATTCCTTCCCACATGTTTATAAAGCCTGACCTGGAGGCTTACCTGAAACAGTCCTCGAAACACCTTGTCATGTAATCCCAGAGGAAGTCTGAGCTCAGGGATGTGATCAGCAAATTCACTGTTTTCACGATCTCAGAGGCGTTCCTGTTTTCCTTTATTGCACTGTAAAGGAAGAAGGATGCTTATGAATATATCTATGACCAGTCCTGTATTATGGGAATACCATGTCTGAACAGTGCAAATTCACTGTGCCATTCATTCACCTGGGGTGCAGTGTGTGAATAAACCCATTTCAATCTTTCACGACTTATTTCTGGAGAGGCTGACAGACGTGGTCATAGATAAAATATTACTGTTGTTATATAGGGAAGAGCAAGCACGTGCCATCCTAAACAGTATTTATATTGATACATTCCCTCAGAAGTAAGCTTAAGAGCTACTGAAAAAAGAATGTGATATGGAAAACCAGCTTCAGTCCAACTATTGGTAATTACATACTCTACTGGTAAAATAATATAGTATAGCCATTTGGAAGAGAAATTTGGCTAACATTTAAATGCACATCTTCTATAACTCAGGGAATTCATTCTAGGGATTTATGCTACAGAAACCCTTGTATAAGCACACAAGGGTATTATGAGAATGTCTTTATAAAATACTGAAAAAGTAGAAACCACCCAAAAGTCAATAAGAGATTGATCAGTTAGTCAGGATTTCTTAAGTAAGTGATAGCGCCTTACTAAGGACTCTAAGGCAACCATTATCCTCCATAGGAGAAGGCTGTACAGCCAGTCATAAATTGCATTAAAAACATGGCTGATTCATGTCAATGTATGACAAAAACCACTACAATATTGTAAAGTAATTAGCCTCCAACTAATAAAAATAAATGAAAAAAAAAATTGCATTAAAAAAAATAAACAGGCAACTGAACAGTTACTGTAACTTCAGCTTAAAAAGAAAAGATAGGCACCTATATATTTATGCATTGAAAGTCTGGAATGTTCTATGTTTTTCTCAGAAGGGCAGTGGGATTATGGATGGTATCTTTTTTTCTTGACACTTTCAAATATTGGTACAGTCTACCATGAACATGTATTACTTTCATATTCAGGAAAACAGTAAACTACACTCATTCTGTGAGGAAAAAACAAACACAAAAGACTCTTGGTATACTTACAGTTAATAACCAGAAAAATCTAACAGATTTCAATTTTCAATACTTGTGTGTGTGTGTGTGCATTCAGTTCTGTCTGACTCTTGGTGACCCTATGGACTGTAGCCCACCAGGTTCCTCTGTCCCTGGCATTCTCCAGGCAAGAGTACTGGAGTGACTTGCCATGCCCTCCTCCAGGGGGCCTTCCCCACTCAGGGACGGAACCTTTCTCTCCTGCATCGGCAGGCAGGTTCTTTCCCACTGAGCCACCTGGGAAACCCTAAATCTTCAGTAGACCAATGCCAAGTCAGGGGAAAGGAAATTACATTAAGAATAAAGGGAAAAGGAAGAGGCAGGAGACAGGGGTTCAATCCCTGGGTCAGGAAGATCCCCTGGAGGAGGGCGTGGCCACCCACTCCAGTATTCTTGGCTGGAGAACCCCATGGACAGAGGAGCCTGGCAGGCTGCAGTCCGTGGGGCTGCGAAGAGTCGGCCATGACTGAAGCGACTTAGCACACACACTACCTTGAAAAGAACAAAAGCAGAACAAGACACAGGGCTGACTGATAACTACACACTGTGTAAGTTACCGCCTTGTCTGCTGTCTCCCAAACCCCACGCGCTGTGCCTTCGGGTCCTGGAGCTCGAGCCCCGGGGCCCCCCTTGCCCTCTGACTTGTCTCCTGAAGACTCACACCCACCGGCCCCACTTCCCGACCCCACCTCCTGCCCGCCCTCCTCCCGGTAACTCACACTGTGTTCTAGACCCAGCTGCCTTTGTTGAGCAACTTTTCACACTCTGCCAAAAATACAGTCTGTACTGCCGAGGTTGGGGCAGAGACAAGATCAAACTCCTTGTGACCTTCTCAGTATTCAACAGGGAAAAGTCGATTCAGGTTGACCGATTTAAGAGCAAAAGTTATCTTAAGGAGTGACTTGACCTGCTACATCTCCACTGTCTCATCGCATCACAATTTATGGCAAACAAAAAAAAGCATTAGGGAGGGAGGAAGAGTGAATTTGAAAGCCACACCCCTACCTTATCACCGAATTTCCACTCTGAGTGTAGCTAAGTTTAAGATCAGAGCCAAGAGCATCTCTGCAGTAAGAATAAAACGCTCGGATGACTTCGAGAAACAAATTCTCAACAACTTGAGGCCCTGCAATTAAAAAGAAAATGGCCAAATGAATGAATGAATAAGAAATAAAATATCAATATTTTTTTAAAAATCCATTTTTCAACCAATAAATGACAAATGTGTAAAATACATCATGAGTAATGCTATATACATAGACAATTTATACAGTTTTAAATGTACAGAAACTTAACTTTGGTTGTGAAAATCACAACTTTAGTTGGGGGAATAACATCCATGAAGACAGTCACCATTTTTGTTGTTCAGTTGCTCAGTCATGTCCGACTCTTTGTGACCCCATGGACTGCAGCACACCAGGCTACCCTGTCCTTCATTATCTTCTGGAGTTTGCTCCAACTTATGTCCATTGAGTCGATGATGCCAAACAACCATCTCATCCTCTTGTCGCCCCCTTCTCCTCCCCTCAATCTTTCCCAGCATCAGAGTCTTTTCCAGTGAGTCAGTGCTTTGTGTCAGGTGGCCAAAGTATTAGAGCTTCAGCATCAGATCCTCCAATGATTATTCAGGGTTCATTTCCCTTAGGATTGACTGGTTTGATTTTGCTTTCCAAGGGAACATTTTTGTAGGGCTTACTATGCACTGGCCACTATTGTGAGCATTCTGTAACTATTAACTTATTTAATCCTTACAAGAGCCAAAGAACCAGGTATGTAATCAGATGTAATGTCCTGATTATGAGGCTACTGAGGCTGGGTGACTAGCCCAGGTGGATTCTCCCAGGTGGAGGCAGGGCATGAATATTAAGAGCACAGAAACTGCGTGGCCAGAGACAATCCCTCTACATAAACCCCAACAGAGTAGGGCAGTTCCCTATTCTGAATACTTTTAACGATGAGCTAGAATGACACAAGAGAAATAATCACCAACCCAGAAAAGCTTAAGATGGCACAAGAGCACTGGATCCTGCCAGACAGGCAGGTGGAAAGCGGCCGGACACGTCTGCTCCTCGAGCACCAACCCGCAGGCCTGATGGAAGGGAAGGGTTTCCCACCCTTGTAATCAGAGGAATGAACATGGCAGGAGGCAGAGAAAACAGAAGCTTTCTCAACAAAGAATAAGCAAATAATCTCATCTCTTATGCTTCCAAAGACAAATGCCCCCTTTCTCATGATAAGCCCCAGGTGTATTTTATCTACAGCGTAAGACTGTGTGTGTGTGCTCAGTCTTGTTGGGTCTTTGTGACCCCCTGCACCATAGCCTGCCAGGCTCCTCTCTGACCATGGAATTTTCCAGGCAAGAATACTGGAGTGGGCTGCCATTTCCTACTCCAGGGATCTTTCTAACCCAAGTGGTTTTTACTAGTGAAGCAAAGCCTGTGGTTGACATTCAAGGAGAAGAAATGAGGAACTGGCTAAAGCCAGGTAGCCAAAGCACAGGTAAGACTAACCGTCCTATGCCTTCCAGTCTGCATTATCAATCCACTCTTTTGCCCTTCAAGTGTACCTTTCTATGGGAAACTAAATTATCAGAGAGACAAATTCAACTTCTGTGATGAGGCAGAAGCCCATCATTCACCCCATTCCAGAAAATACAACCTGGAGCCCAAGTTAGTTCAACACTCACTTGACCCAGGTCAAGGCCTTGACATAAAACACCCATCTCCAAGGTCGGAGCCTGGAGACACAAGCCTCATGCTTTGAATTTGGTCAGGAGCAACCAGAGCTGCACCTGTCATGCACTTAAGTTCATCTGTGTTACAAGACTTAACATCTCGGGTACGGGCCGTCAGAAGGTCATCAAGTAAGGAGCAACATCCTAACAAAGAGAGCTCAGGCTATGCAGTCAGACTCCAGAGTTTCAGTCCCAGCTCCAAGGTGGGCCCTGGAAAATGACTCAGACTTGCTCCACCCTGGTCTCCATCTGTAGAATATATACAGTCAGAAAAGCTACTCAGGGTTTTTGGAGGTACGACGTATTCATGGATGTATATTAATGATGTATATGTTTAGTCGCTCAGTCGTGTCCCACTCTTTGCGAGTTGGTCTGTAGCCTGCCAGGCTCCTCTGTCCATGGAATTCTTCAGGCAAAAATACTGGAGTGGGTAGCCATTCCCTTCTCCAGGGATCTTCCAGACCAAGGGTCAAACCTGGGTCTTCTGCACTGCAGGCGGATTCTTTACTGTCTGAGCAGCCAGGGATGGATGGATGTGAGAGCTGGACCGTAAAGAAGGCTGAGCGCTGAAGAATTGATGCTTGTGAACTGTGGTGTTGGAGAAGACTCTTGAGAGTCCCTTGGACTGCAAGGAGATCCAACCAGTCCACCCTAAAGGAGATCAACGCTGGATATTCATTGGAAGGACTGATGCTGAAGCTCTAATACTTTGGCTACCTGATGCAAAAAGCCAACTCATTGGAAAAGATCCTGATGCTGGGAAAGACTGAAGGCAGGAAGAGAAGGGGACGACAGTGGATGAGATGGTTGGATGGCATCACTGACTCAATGGACATGGGTTTGACCAAACTCTGGGAGATAGTGATGGACAGGGAAGCCTGGCGTGCTGCAGTCCACGGGGTCGCAAAGAGACACGACTGAGTGACTGAACAACAACACATATTAATGATGCACAAAGTGATTGCCCCCCAAATTCACTGTTTTTATTAACAACAGTTAGGACACATTAGGACCGCAGTCTCCCTTCTGTCTAACTTGACCAGAAGCCTACTTCTCCCTTTATTTGCCTAGAGGTTAGCACCTCCCCTGCTGCACAGATGCCCCATGCCCGTCTCTGAAAAGCATCAAGGAAAGGTCCCCGTCCTGACGCCTGATGGAGAGGAACTTCACTAACACTCTCTGCTCCTGTTCTCTGCAAATAGCACCTTGGCAGCGGGCTGTCCTGAGCAGATGGCTCAGAGGACACCAAGACTGAATCCAGGGCAGAAGAAGGGCTTTCCTGGCCAGTGACGCTGTTCAAGGCATGAGATGCTGATTTCTCAGGGTGAATGGACACTGGAGCAGTTTCTTTTCTTTTTTTTAAAGCAAGCACTTTCCCCGACCGACACCCAGAGGACCACAGTGCATAAAGGGGGAGCCTTCCCGACCCACAGTCTAGTTTAACCTGAGGCCTGAGACAGATGGGCTCTAGGCGGGGCGTTTACAACCAGCCTCCTGTTTACATTTCTTGAGGAAAGGAGGCAGGTGGGCTGGAGGCTGGATATTTACCATCAGCCTCCTGTTTGCACTTCAAAATAGGAATAACAGCAGAAATAGGGTAAAGAGCCAGGCTTCCTTCCTGTTTTAAGACAGCCGTGGGCAGGGACAGAGGGGCTGAACTCCATTTGCGTAAAGGATGATGAGTTCATGTATTTCCCCTCCTTGGGGGAAGGGGGACACTGCACAAGCACAAGAAGGCTGCTTGGGGGGGGTCAAAAGAGGGGACCCCCATACATCCCATAATATGTAATGCTAAGCCTCCCCCCGCTGGCCTTTGGGCTAGAATCCATCTTGGGAAAAACTTGCACATGCATGTTGGGAAGGGTCCTCAGGCTCGTCGGGTGTGGGAAAAGAAATCAGGTTAACTGGCCAGAGGCAAACAAAGACCTGGAGGAACTGCCCTATGCAGATGATTTAACCACCTCTCTACTGCTCTCCTCAGGAGATGGGACACCCACACCCTTCCTCTGCCTTACCGATGGACCTGACGTGTGCATGCTCATTCGTGCCCGACTCTTTGCGACCCCCTGGACTGTGGCCCACCGGGCTCCTCTGTCCATGGGATTTCCCAGGCAAAAATTCTAGAGTGGATTGCCATTTCCTTCTCCAGGGGATCTTCCCAACCCAGGGACTGAAGCTCAGTCTCCTGCATCTCCTGCATTGCAGGCGATTCTTTACACACTGAGCCATCGGGGAAGCCCTCTTTCTCCTTCCTTCTGTCTTAACTAAGCGAGCTGTTTCTCTGCGTGCTCTCCCGCTTATTGTTCTGAGTCTCTAATGATACACTTTGTACCTGTTTTTACAGCTTTTGTCTCTTTGACAAATGCATTTTTCAATGGCGGCAAGGGCCAGTGGAGTTTTGCTTCTCGCCTCTAGCCCTTGCGAGACTACTGGCCAAAATTCCTGGCTTTCATCCAGGATACCCAGGTTCAATTCCTGGGCAGGGGTCTAAGATCTCACTTCAAGTTATCACTCACTGCTGTCTTGCCGAAATCAGACCCTCCTTCATGTGACAGAGGAAAAAACTGAGGCCTACACAGCAGAAGGAGCTTGTCTGGGCTCCCAAGGCAAAAAGACAGAGGAGTGTCCCCTGTTTTCGTGAGAATACAACCAAAGCCATTTAACTGAAATACGGTCTCACGAAGTCAGTACTGTGCGTACCTTGCAGGCACGTGTGCCAGTGAGCACAAGAGCTCAAAGGTATTTTCCTAAAATAAAAATTCAAGGAATTGTGCAAAAAATTTAAGAAGAGACTGCCTGCAAAGGCGAGAGATCCGTGTTCGATCCCTGGGTTGTGAAGATGCCCTGGAGATGGATATGGCAACCCACCCCAAGATTCTCTCCTGGAGAATCCCATGGACAGAGGAGCCTGGTGGGCTACAATCCTACAGAACGTGGGATTGCAGAGAGTCGGGCACGACCTAAGCAACTTAGCAGCAGCAGCAAACAGTGAAAACTGAAGCACAGAGCATGACTGAAGTCCCTCGAGATTCTGAAATTCCGAAGATTAAACTGTATTCTAAACGACAGGGTGGCTTCCCATGTAGCTCAGTCGGCAAAGAATCTGCTGGCAATAGAGGAGACTTGCCTTCAATGCAGGAGACCTGGGTTCGATTCGTGGGTTGGAAAGATCCCCTGGAGGAGGCAGTGGAAACCCATTCCGCTGTTCTTGCCTGGAGAATCCCATGGATGGAGGAGCCTGGCGGGCTGCAGTCCACGGGGTCACTAGAGTCGGACCCAGATGGGCAACTAAACCACTACCAAACAATGGGGTGATTGCACGTCACCAATAATAACTCCCTCTCAGCAGGGAAGCCTCCTTCGGCACGTGGCGGTAAAGCACGTCTAGTGTTACCTATTTCCGGCTTGTCGAGCAGACTGACGAGGATGCGGAAAGGCTTCAGGTACCCGTGGTGGCGCTCCTCTACGTCGGTGTCCGCGAACTTCTGGTGCAGGATCTCAGCCAGACCCTGATGTTGATTTAAAAAAAAAAAAAAGCCACACATTAGGGTATTATATACAGTGTAGTGTTGATGGCTTATGGTGAATGGTGTTGGATTTGGAATCTCCGAAGGAGAGGGTTTTGCTTTGGGACCAGAGACTTGGCATCAGTCACTCAGAGCTTCATGTGGCAAAAGTTTTATTAGTGGACAGAGAAACACTTCTGACATAGACATCAGAAGCAGGTGGAATTCGGGTGGGGCTTTATATACTTTTTCAGTTGGTTACTAACAGTAGAAAGGTCTTACCAGACCCACTGCCTCAACATACCCCTTAAGATAACAGGATGAGTCAGAAGGTTCTTAAGGAAGAGAAACATGTCCTTGAGCAGGATGCACTGTTGCTATAGAATCATTAGTATAGAGTTTAAGGAAAAACATACCCTTGCGCAAAATGAGTTGTTTTGCTGTGTAATCATTAGCTCTGGGTTTCAAGAAAGTTAGAAGAAATAGACTGTTGTCATAACAACTCAAGAGTTTAAGAAAACAAAAAAAACGTCTATGTGACTAAGATGAAGGAATGTAGAAAAAAAAAAAGTTTGTCCCTTTCTCCTTGAGGGCCCAGACTCCTTATCAACCTACTTAAGAATCAGCTGTCTCTCAAAAGAGACACAGATGTAAAGAATAGACTTTTGGACTCTGTGGGAGAAGGCAAGGGTGGGATGATTTGAGAGAATAGCATTGAAACATGTATATTATCAAGTGTGAAACAGATCGCCAGCCCAGGTTTGATGCATCAGGGCTGGCGCACGGGGATGACCCAGAGGGGTGGGATGGGGAGGGAGGTGGGAGGGAGGGTCAGGATGGGGAACACATGTACACCCATGGCTGATTCATGTCAATGTATGCCAAAAACCACTACAATATTGTAAAGTAATTAGCCTCCAATTAAAAAAAAAAGAATCACCAGTCTCAGAGTGACACTACGGGTTGTTCTACTTGTTGAACACTCTGGGGCAGAAGTAAAAGCAGTCACACGGCACAAGAGGAGAACCCGTGGCCCTCCACACCAAGGGTCTTGCATCCTCAGGTTCAATCATCCACAGATTGCAAATATTTGGGGAGAAAAAATTCCAGAAAGTTCCCAAAGGCAAAACTTGAGCTTGCCAGGCACTGGCAACTTACTTATATAGCATTTACACTGTGTTCTGCAACATATTTACATAGCATTTATGTCACAAATCATCTAGAGGTGGTATCACAAGTAATGTAGAGATGAGTTAAGGTACACGAGAGGATGAGCATATGTTACATGCAAACACCAGGCTGTGTCATATATATGAGGGACTTAAGCATCTGTGGATTTTGGTATCCACAGGGTGGGGGTGGGGGAAGGGCTGGAACTAGTCCCGTGGATTCCAGGGGATGACCACACATGGACTTTTCCCAACTGCGTATGAAGGAACGGGCCCCATGTCTACTCTGAGGTCCCACAAGGAACCCCACCAGAAAACCACAGTTAGGAAGGGCCTGACTGGGACCCCCTTTCCAGAAATGCTCCTTTACCTCCACTAAAAGATCCTTGGAGTATTTCTCAAAAAAATACATGGACTGGTCTTCATAAGCATTTGAGACTTCAGATTCCGGCACGATGGTATTTCCTTTAATATCAGAACCTATAAAAGAACAAGAACCATGAGATGTAAAGAAATCTACATGTTTAGAGAACATCTTATCGTGCAAAGGTCTTATGCTCTGGTATTTCAAAAAACAGAACTCCTCCAACAGAAAACCAAAATCAGATCCAGCGAAACCACGTCCTGTCTTTCTGACAGTGGTGTGCCAGGGATCAGACAGGCAGAATTCCATTTCAACGGACCTCAGTTGAGTCTACCCAAGAATTCATCCTGTCTTTGACAAATATGATTATAAGAATCAAAGAGAATGACTATCATTTGTGAAAACCAGTGCTTACGTGTACAGCACTATGAGAAATCAAGGTATTCTCATCTGTATGCCCTCATTCTGAGCCACGGCTAAGTCTCTAAAGGGCTTTCCTGATGGCTCAGGGGTTAAAGAGTCTGCCTGCAATGCGGGAGACCTGGGTTCGATCCCTGGGTCAGGAAGATCCCCTGGAGAAGGAAATGGCAATCCACTTCAGTATTCTTGTCTGGAGAATCCCATGGACGGAGGAGCCTGGTGGGCTACAGTACATGGGGTTGCAAAGAGTCGGACACGACTGAATGATTTCCAGGTTCAAGGTTAAGTCTCTAAAGTCCTTAGGGCAAGGCACAGCATCTTTCTAAGCAGAGAGTCTGGACTCCTGGGGTCATGGCTTATACAAGTGGAAGCTGTTACTGAGCTTGGGTCCCAGGTCCTCCCTACAGACAAGGTGCTGAGCCCCCCTGGAAGGGAGCTGTGCATTTGACAAAATCATCCTTTTAACAAAAAAATGTTTAAAGAGCCTGTAAATATCCCTCTGGAGAGCCTTCATAAGCTTCCATGCTATGACTTCGGAAAGTTTTATAACCAGGGGAAGAAAGGGTTAAGAGGACTTTCTGACATTGATATGCCAGGTGGCACAGTGGTAAAGAATCCGCCTGGCAAGCAGGAGACGTGGGTTTGATCCCTGGATGGGGAAGATCCCCTGGAGAAGGCAATGGCAACCCACTCCAGTATTCTTGCCTGGAGAATCCGATGGACAGAGGAGGCTGGTGGGCTACAGTCCATGGGGTTGCAAAGAGTCAGACACAACTGAGCAACTGGGCACCACGAGGGTTAAAAAGGAAAAAACCTGAGAAGCAGAGGATTTTCAGGCCAGTGAAAATCCTCCGGGTGACACTCTAATGGGAGACATGTATTATTAGAGACCTTTGTCTAAACCCACAGAATGCACAGCGCCGAGTGGGAATAAACGGGGGCGGGGGGTGTGTGTGTGGCTGAGATGATGACAACGTGTCGGTGTAGGGTCCCTCAATTGTGATAAACGTGCCGCTCTGCTGGGGGATGCTGGTTGCGGGGAGCCCCACGTGCATCTCGGGGAGAAGGGCTAGATGGGAACTCTCCATACCTTCCTCTTAGTTTTGCTGTGACCCTAAAACTGCTCTAAAAAAATAAAGTCTTAAAAGAGATGCTCTGGAGTCCTTTCACAATCACTCTGTACACCATCTCCTCCTAGAGACATGAACTTGGGAATCTGTGACATTCAGAAAGTGCTACCTGTTAGGCCCTGTGATCGCCTGAGCTCGTCCCCGTGAAGCCTCTCAACTGACAGTCAAGGGCTCTTTTCCTGTAGTCTGTCCACAAGAAAACACGTGCACAGAAGCATGAACTGGCGTTCTCGCGCGCTCCCGAAGTCACCCAAAGAAAGTCAAAGTATGAGTCGCTCAGTAGTGTCTGGCTCTTTGCGGCCCCAAGGACTGTAGCCTGCCAGTCTCCTGTCTGTGGGATTCTCCAGGCAAGAACACTGCAGTGGGTTGCCATTTCCTTCTCCAAAAGATCCCGTTACTTCCCTGGATTTTCTATACTGACTGCAAAATAACCAAAGCAGCGGGCTAGACGGCAGAACTCTGCTGACCAGCTGACAGCTGGGTCTGCATGCCATCTTCCCACACTGATGACATCCAGAAATGCATCACCATGATTAGAACTGATTCCCCAAATCAGCACCTTCCCTCTGGCTCTCCAGCCCCTACGTACCAAGTAACCAGGCGTAAAGCCTTCTGTTCAGAGACATATCCCGTCTCAGGAGGGTCTGAGTGGCAGCTGAGAGGACACGCACGATGTCAGATCTGAGCAGGGGGATGGCTCTCTCGCTGGAATCCTAGGAGGAGGATGGAGGAAACTTTACTGCAAGGTGATGACACAGTAAATCGCTGGCCTTCTGACATGCGGACCCTCTTTACCAGCCTACACAGCTTTATCTTCAAGAGGGGGTTCTCAAAAGGGCTGGGTTCTTCACATACTGCCCAGGGCAGAATACTTGATTCTGCTATGGAGACACCATCCGCACAGAAATGAGCTGACCGCGGATAGTGGTCACCGAGTGCCTGCCCGCCCCTCCTGACAAGACGGCTCGGGTCTCTCCTGCCGACCCCATGGCCTCGGGGAAGACCAACACTGCCCCCGGAAGAACACAGACGGCTCACCAGACAGGTATAAAAGGGGAAGAAGAACAGGACAATCTCCAGGTTATTTCTTTGCACCAGCACGTTTGAGTCCAACAGGGATGCACATAAGGACTTGATCTGCAAAGGACAAAACGCCATGAACATTTCACACCCAAGACACTGAACATCATCGGCAGCTATTCTTTTTAGTCGTAAAAATGAAAACAACTTTTCCTGGTCGTCTTGAAACCACCATGTTAACGTCACGTGGAACAGAACAACACGGTGTAAATACGGGAAACCTGGTTCTAGCTCCAGACGCTAGCAGGGGTTCTGTGTCGTGGGGAAGACCTCGCTGCTCCATTTCAGAAGTAGAGGGGCTTGGCCCGGATGGCCAGGCTCTAAGACCTCAGATCCTACAATCCCAGAAAGAAATGTTTTTAGGTTCCATAAGGGACCTTCGACTATACTAAAACTCCAATGACATCCAGCCAAATGGTCTCCAAACCAATTCAGTGTGGATTTTGAGGGTCCTTTCCGAGGACAGATACATGTGCTACAGCTGCAGGATAGAATAACAGGCATAAGAAGAGTTTTAACACAAGGCTGTGAGAACCGGGAAGAGGAGAGGGTGAGATCGTTCAACTGGGGGAACAGCAAAGCTTCGTGGGGAAGCTGAGCTTGAAAGACAGGCCAGATGGACACTGAGATGGGAGGGAAGAGACGGGCAGTGAGCGTGGGACGAGGGAGGGACCGGCTCGAGCAAAGACGGCGTCATAGACGTGCCAGGTCAGGAGGGGCAGCGGGCTCTGGGAGCGCAGATGGCCGAGAGGGGAGAGTCAGGCCTCTGGGGGGCTGGGAGCAGGCCATCAGGATACTCCTGAGAATGGACTTTATCTGCTGGCAGCCGGCAATTTTTCAAGCACAGAAAAAATCTAAGGAAACCTATGCTTCAGCAAAGTGAAGTCTCGTAGCAATCAAAAAAGCACTGGATGGGAGAGGGAAGAGATGGGGAGAAATCAGTTAGAAAATTACATGAAGGTCCGGGAACAAGACCGAAGGAGCCAAAGCAGGGAGGTGAAAATGGAGGAAGAGAATGAGGGGCAGAGGAGGAGGGAGTGTGTCTGTGAGGGTCTCCTCTGTCCCAAGCATCGGACGATGTCCCTTCATCACTCTTTTCCTTGGAGAGCCCCACAGGAAGATCTATTATTTCCACGGTGCAAAGTGGAATGGATTCAGAGGGGTAAGGAATCGCTGCCTGCTTTCTTGACGCTGAATTCAGTGTTGAACGTTTTCAGTTTGAAGCGGGGTCTACCACTAGGTGGCGACAGACTGCACACCATTAAACAAGTGTTAAGTTAGGGAGAATTGCTGTGACTCAGAGCGGAACTGATGCTTTTGAACTGTGGTGTTGGAGAAGACTCTTGAGAGTCCCTTGGACTGCAAGGAGATCCAACCAGTCCATCCTAAAGGAAATTGGTCCTGAATATTCACTGGAAGGACTGATGCTGAAACTGAAACTCCAATACTTTGGCCTTCTAGGGCGAAGAACTGACTCACTGGAAACAACCCTGATGCTGGGAAAGACTGAAGGCAGGAGGACAAAGGGATGAGAGAATGAGATGGTTGGCTGGCATCACCAACCCAATGAACATGAGTTTGAGCAAGCTCTGGGAGTTGGTGATGGACAGGGAAGCCTGGCGTGCTGCAGTCCATGGGGTCGCAAAGAGTCGGACACGACTGAGCTGAACTGAACTGAAGTTTGGGAGTGTTTCCCTGATAGCTCAGTTGGTAAAGAATCCGCCTGCAATGCAGGAGACCCCGGTTTGATTTCTGGTTCAGGCAGATCCGCTGGAGAGGGGATAGGCTACCCACTCCAGTATTCTTGGGATTCCGTGGTGGCTCATCTGGTAGAGAATCTGCCTGCAATGTGGGAGACCTGGGTTTGACCCCTGGGTTGGGAAGATCCCCTGGAGAAGGGAGAGGCTACCCACTGCAGTATTCTGGAGTGGAGAACTGGAGAAGTTTGGGGAGAAAAGACAACAGATCTGAGAAATTCCGTTTTCAAGGTCACGAGAAGGCAGGTCACCTCCAGGGAAGAAGGCCTGGGGCCAGACCCCTGACGGGCCTGGACAACGTAGGTGTGCGAGCAGCCGGAGGAGAGGAGGACAACACACGGGAGGGCGGCGGGAGCCGGGGAGGGAGCCGGTTTGCAGGTGGTGGTCAGCGGTCAGCGTGACGGAGGTGGGGAGTGGGGGCTGAAAACACGGCTGCGGCTCAACAGCAGACCCCCGGCCGGGGGCTCTCAGGACCCACCTGTATTGCAGAAGCCACGGGGTCTCCTGAAGGGCCCTGCTCAGGTGTGAGCAGCATGTGGTGATGCGGGTGTCAGAGACCCGCGTCCCCATCGGGGCCGCACAGTGAGGCCGCCTCCCCGCCTGCCCGGTCTCTCGAACACCTCCGCTCCCCGCAGTGCCCGCCTGCCCCCCACCCCCTGCCAGGACCGTGGCACCCACCGTGAGCTGGTGGTCAGTCCCCAGCATGTACTTCTGCTCCCGGCCGGGCGCGCCCCGGTTGATGTGGCCCACCACGAAGAGCGAGGCGGGCAGGCGGATGGATGGGCTGGCCAGGACACTCCCCCAGAGGGCAGCGTAGAAGACCTCCCTGCCGACCACCAAGGACAGCCTCAGCAGCAGCGCGTCCGTCCTAGGACGGGAGAGCACAGCGTCAGGGCGCTCCCCGCAGGCCAGGGAAACGCCACCTTCCTCATTTTGAGCTGCCGCGGCCGCCGCATGCCCCTTCAGTGTCTGTCCGTCCGCCTGCTGGCTGTCACTAAAAACTGAAATTGCTAGGGCAAGCGTGTCACCAAGAGGGGCCGTGTCTTGGCCAAAGGGCAGCATCTGACCGGTCATGTTCCCCTCGGGGCACAGAGATCTGTCTCCACCTCTGGCCTCGCCACGGATGTCACCCTGCTTGTGGGAGGCGGGCCCACTGCCCCAAGGAGATGAGCAGACCCGCCTCCCTGTATAAGAGCATGAGGGGCCATCAATGCGCCAAAAAAAAACAAAACAAAACAAAGGCTGACATGACTGATTAAAGACCTATGTGATGATAAAGACTTCCACAGTGGCTCAGACAGGAAAGAATCCGCCTGTAATGCAGGAGACCTGTGTTTGATCCCTTGGTTGGGAAGATCCCCTGGAGAAGGAAATGGCAACCCACTCCAGTATTCTTGCCTGGAGAATCCTATGGACAGAGGAGCCTGGTGGGCTACGGTCCATGGGGTCGCAAAGAATTGGACACGAATGAGTGACTATCACTCAATCACTCAGTGATAAAGACATCCCTGACTAGAGCACGGCCCCACACGTGCCCAGGGACACTGGACTTCAGAAATACTGGGGACAGTGGCTGCCTGGGCCTCCCACTCCCTGGTATGTTCTAGAAGGTCTGGGGCCGTTTTCCCGACAATCTGCCCCCAGCACCTCCACATCCCGGCTCCCACTGCGGGAAGCCCTCCTGTGGACCACCACATGGATTCAGGTCTTATCTTTACCTGGGATGCCATGACATCACATCAGCACTTGGATGGACCTCCTCGGAGAGAAGCAGCATTGTGGGGGGCGCCGTGTGGACTTGTTTTTCCACCAACACGGACCGACGTGAGCCCCTCTCCGCTTGGAGGGCGCCTGTGACTAGTGGGGCCCCTTCCCGCCAACTGTGAAAACACAGCTTGTGGGCCCAGTGACAGCACTTATCAGTAGGACTGTGGAGGCAGCTCCCACAAAGGGACTTCACTTAAGGAGAGGGTCTGACTCGAAATCTGAAATGATTCCATCTTTCACATGCTTTCTATTTGCATCAACCACAGGGCTGGGGGGAAAAGACAGGCGGACAAGCCCAGTATAAAGCAGCGGGGTTCTGGAATCAGCAACCTTATATCTGCTTCTTGGCACTGGAGCCTGGGACAAATGAAAGCCGTGTGCATGTCATCTCTCAGCCATGGCGGAGAAAAGGGGTGAAAATGCACGATCGTCTCTTGAGTACACACTCAACAAGGGTCTGCTCCGGTGGCTGACCCTCCCCAGTGCGCAGATGAGCGTCTGACACGCAGCTGGCCCTCCAGAAAACTGTCAGACGAAGGCTCCTCTCCCTGTTTCACTGTGACCCATGCTGCCTGCAGCTTGCTCTTGTTGATCAGCCACTAAGTCACGTCCTACTCTTTGTGACCCCACAGACCGCAACACACCAGGCCTCCCTCTCCAGAAAACTGTCAGACGAAGGCTCCTCTCCCCGTTTCACTGTGACCCATGCTGCCTGCAGCTTGCTCTTGTTGATCAGCCACTAAGTCACGTCCTACTCTTTGTGACCCCACAGACCGCAACACACCAGGCCTCCCTGTCCCTCAGTATCTCCCGGAGTTTGCCCAAGTTCAGCTTGCTCAGTATACACTTAAACATTTCGTACCAAAAAACGTATACTACCTTTCGACATTAAAAATTAATTTTGTTTTCCTTAAACCTAGTGTGAACCTTTTTGACTCATAAAATATTCGTAGCGAATGACGCAGAGGAAAAAAAAACAAAATGAAGAAGCATCAGAAACAGCCAAATGCTTAGAAGGACACAGTATGGTTTAGTGGCTAAAGGTACTGATCAGTCTTCTATCAAGGCTGAGCCAACAAATACAGCTTATCTCTGCCCAGCTCTGAAAACCACCAAAAGCCCTAATTTGGGGTAGAAGCACTGTTCAGCAGCTGCAGTTACGGTGAGCGGGGCAGATGGGTCAGTGTGGACACAGCGGACAGACAGGACGGTCCAGAGCTAGGAAGGGATTCCCAGAGCAGCAGATTAATCCAGGAAGCCCCCAGAGAGCTCCCCTCTCCAGCGTCCCTATCACACAAGACCAACGCCAAGCTAAAACCCATCACAAACACTACAGCGTGGACACTGCTGTCTCCTGCCCCTTGCTTACAAAAGCATATCCCTAAAGCATGTTCCATGGAACACTGGCTATGGCAGAGGGGGTTCCACCATCTGAGAGCCTGGGGAATGCCACTTACACTATCCCTTCTTCAAAATTCAGAGAACACCGCCCAGTTTTCTTTATTAAAGAAACGGGCTTCCCTTGTGGCTCGGCTGGTAAAGAACCCACCTGCAGTGCAAGAGACCTGGGTTCGACCCGTGGGTTGGAAAGATCCCCTGGAGAAGGGAAATGCTACCCACTCCAGTATTCTGGCCTGGAGTATTCCATGGACTGTATAGTCCATGGGTTCGCAAAGAGTCAGACAAGACTGAGTGGCTTTCACATTAAATAAGCAGCTTAATATAAAAATAAAAATTTTACCTTAAAAGTGAATGGATATTAAAAACTGAAATGATGTTACAGGTCAGAAAAACAAGCAATTACGAAAGGACTCTGCCGTGGGGGGTTTCCTAGGTGGTGCTAGTGGTAAGGAACCCGCCTGCCCACGCAGGAGAGGCAGATTTGATCCCTGGGTCGGGGAGGTCCCCTGGAGAAGGGAATGGCAGCCCACTCCAGTATTCTTGCCGGGAGAATCCCATGGACAGCAGCCTAGAGGGCTACAGTCCATTGGGTCACAGAAGTGCTGGACACGACTGAGCAACTAAACAACAAGACTGGTATGGCGAGCAAAGTAAACAGCAGGATAACTGGGGTCGAAAGCCAAAGTCAACGTTGCTCAGACGTGTCCGACTCTTTGCGACCCCATGGACTGTATAGTCCATGGAATTCTCCAGGCCAGAATACTGGAGTGGGTAGTCTTTTCCTTCTCCAGGGGATCTTCCCAACCAGGGATCAGACCCAGGTCTCCCACATTGCAGGAGGATTCTTTACCAGATGAGCCCCAAGGGGAGCCCAAGAATACTGGAGTGGGTAGCCTATCCCTTCTCCAGCGGATCTTCCCAACCCACGAATCGAACCACGGTCTCCTGTGTTGCAGGCAGATTCTTTACCAACTGAGCTATCAGGGAAAGAAAAAAAAAAAAGGCTAATTAACTGTCTACTAAAGAATTACTCATATCACCTTAACTGTGAAGTTCCAAAATAAGTGTGCACGGTTTAGCATCCAGAATGGAAATCTTTCCTATTTAAAATCAACGGTTAATAAAACGAAACACACACACCAACCCCTTCCTCAGTCACTTTAGCTGCTGCTTTTGTCCTCTGTGAACGCAAGCTCATTCCTAGGACATTGACACTCTCTCTTCTACTCAACCGACAGCCAGTGAGGAAGTCGGGCTGTGTGCCGCGGGCCCCGGGCACTTCGTGACTCTGGCCGTGTGGTCACTTCTGAATGGACCCTCATGAAAGCTGAACTGTCATGACACCAAATAGCCTGGGGCGTGACCATCTGAACCAGCAGGGCAGTAACAACAGCACCCTGCAACACCACATCAGGCATACACCAGAGAAGGGGGAAATCAACCCTGAATACTCATTGGAGGGACTGACGCGGATGTTGATGCTGCAACACTTTGGCCACCTGAGGCGCACACCTGACTCACTGGAAAAGACGCTGATGCTGGGAAGGATTGAAAGTCAAAGGAGAAGAGGGCGGCAGAGGATGAGATGGTTGGATGGCATCACCGATTCAACGGATGTAAACCCAGGCCAACTCTGGGAGATAGTGAGGGAGAGGGAGGCCTGGTGTGCCGCAGTCCGTGGGGCTGGAGTTGCAAACAGTTGGACGCAACTTAGCGACTGAACAACAAGGGGGAGAAAACTCTGGGACCAGCAGGGCTTCACCAGCATGGTGCGGGCCTTGGCCAGAAGAGAGGCCAATGAAGACTTGCCCACTGCCATTTAAATCAGGGTTTCTCACCGTGTACCACGTGGACCCCTGGGGCTGGGCCCTCCTTTGCGGTGGGGGCAATCGTGTGCATCCTGGGATGTTCAGGCACACCCTTCACCTCTACCCGCGAGATGCCAGCAGCGCCCGCCCCACCAAGCTGTAACACCCCAAAACTGTACTCAGGTGTTGCCAAGTGTCCCCCGGGGCCGGCGCCACCCTAGGCTGAGAGCTATCGAGTTCAAGGGTCATGTCTGGGGAGCCGGGTTTTGCCTGCCTTCTAACCATGAATCCTGTCTTCCTCGTATAGCAACCCACAGCAAGCCACGCGGGCACCTCGTGTGCACTTTACAAAAGGGATTCTGGGTGGGAGTGGTTTGTGGACATCAAAGGGTTATTAGAAAGCCAGGGTGAGTAACAAGTCCAAACGCCGGCCAAAATCTCCATTGCCTTATGGTTCACTGACAAACATGGACCAGAAACTGTCCCCGCCTCCACGAAACCCATGACTCAGCAGCGCCGACACGCTCACTCACCCACCCCTCAGCATCTTCCACCAGCTCGGACATCGTGACTGCCCCGCCCCCAGACCCTCTGCAGAGCATCTCCTGGGGGTGGGGTGTCTGACTCAATTCCTGAGCAGGTTAGGAAGGAACCCTCTCTAACTGACCTGGATACATGTAGCCACCTGATCGCTGGGCCCACACGCCCGCGCCCAGAGACCACACAACCCTGCCTCAGCCTCCACCTCGGAAGGCCGGTCACTCAGACTCCTGAGCGCTGCAGACGCCGGATCGGGCTTTGTGTCACAGCCGCGTGTAACCCGTGACTCACGGAGCTTTACTCAGCTCGAGGCTGAACGTTGAGAAATCATAATATTAGGAGAAAACACTCGTGCTCATCGGCTGGAGCGCAACTGTTCAAATGAACATTCATTGATCAGCCGGGAGAATATATGACAACACCCTGACTACTGACAGGTTTCTGGTGTGATTCATTCTTACAGATTAAAAAAAAAATTGCCTTACACTGTGGGAGCTGAAGTGCTCATCTTTAGATGATGGCGGGCGGTGGGGGGAAGCATTTACAGCAAACATCTGTTAGGAAAACATGAATGGACCAGAACTTCTAGAAAGAGCCTGGGGCTAGGAGTGAAGAGCAGAGTTGGGCAAAGGTTGGCTTGTTAACTCTGCATGACCCTGATTCTTCCTGAACCCACACGCCCACCCGGCCTTGCAGGCCATGGTGCTGGGTTTAAAACAGCAACGAGACGGACCCTGCTAGAAAGTGGATGCTAGTGACTCGGCAGATCACTGAGGTGGATTCCCCATGGGGAGGTGGAGACCCCACCCGTTCTGAGTGGAAACCTGAAACAGGCCAAGTGCATATCAAACACGAGGATGGATGCTCGCGACTTTAACGCACCCTGGGTCACCAGCCACCATCCTGCAAACATTCTGATTATCTGGTTTCCTTGAGGGGCGCACTCTGAGTGGGCCTTGGATGGATTCCCTGCTTCCACTCCATGCCCCCGACCCTCCAGCCACAGCTGACACTATAAGGCAAAGGTGGAATGGCTGGGACCTCTGGTGTGGGGAAGATTTGAGCAGGGCTTTGGGTCATCACGTGGAAACTTGTGCAAGCATGCAGGTTTCTGGACCTCCTGGCCAGCTGCATGTGGGCTCTGGAAATGGGTCCTGTGAAGAGAGGCTCATCACTGGGGCATCACTCAGAACAGTTCACACCCTGGAAGTTGAGTTTTCACACTACAATTCTCCAGAAACGATTCTCCGTATACATGCCATGGTCTAAATGGACAAATTCTCTCTACCATTCCGAGTGAAAGACACTCAGCCATGTCCACCTCTTTGCAACCCCATGAATTATACAGTCCATGGAATTCTCCAGACCAGAATACTGGAGTGGGTAGCCGTTGCCTTCTCCAGGGGATCTTCCCAACCCAGGGATTGAACCCAGGTCTCCCACATGGCCGGCGGATTCTTTACCATCCTAAGCAGTGACCAAAACCACCACAATATTGTAATTAGCCTCCAATTAAAAGAAAGAAAAACAAACAGATACCATTGCATGAACTTCTATGCCTGTGAGCTTGCCAAATTTCTCCAAGGTGCTTGAAACTCATCAAGCCGAGCCCTTCCCATCAATGAAACCCAGCCCTGCTTTTTCATTTGGAAGCAGCCTAGTAAACAGTGGGCTTCACCAGTGGCTCAGACAGTAAAGAATCTGCCTGCAATGCTGGAGACCTGGGTTCGATCCCTGGGTCGGGAAGATCCCCTTGGAGGAGAGCATGGCAAACCCCTCCAGGTATTCTTGGCCTGGAGAATCCCCATGGACAGAGGAGCCGGCCAGGCTCCAGTCCGTAAGTTCTCGAAGAGTCGGACATGACTGAGCGACCAACGCTTTCATGTTCATGAGTATACAGAAGAAGGGAGCAAAACTTCAGAACCTGACACGTTAAGAGGCAGAACCCCATCTCCTGCCGCCCACAGACCGAGAGACTCTGGGGAACTCTCTTACCTCCTGACCCCCACCTGGAAACGTGGTAAAATTCGAAGGGGCACACGGTACTTCGTCAGGCAGAGACGCCACAGAAACGTGAACGTTGGCCTGACTTCTGCACCTACCCTGCTTCCGAGGTCTTCTCCGCATGTCTCCCCCATTTCTCACAAAGCAAGGGAATGAAAAGCAAGCGGGCACCCCTCATGCCGGGGGGCGGGGGGCCAAGGGCTCTGGCCGACACCCACCTGTCACAGATCTCCGAGCCCTCCTCCAGGCCAGGCAGCAGGCCGACGACGAAGGCCTGGAGGCTCGGCAGCAGCAGCTTCTGCAGCGGGAGGAAGTACTTCTCATATAGGCCGAGCAGCACGGGTCTCACCGACATGGCTGCGTGCGCCAGAAGCGGGAACAGCCCGCAGCTTTGGGGACAGAGAAAAAAAAGGGAGAGGAGGGAAAATGAGAGGCTGCTCAGAAGCTCCGAGGGATCGGCTAGCCCCAAGGGGTTCCAAGAGCGGCCAGCCAACCAGCCGGTCATCTACGCTGGTGACGGAGGTGCCCAGCCGTCCCGGGACGGTCACCAGGCAGGGCGGGCCCGGGGCAGGCCACAGGCAGTGTGCACACAGGGCGTCTCAGCTCAGGGGGAAAAGGCAGGGAGGATGGACTCCGGAGGGTGGGCGCTGGGGGAACCTCCTGACGGACGGCTTTGTGGCGAACGGACGCATCCCTTCGTGTTTCCCTTTGTGCATCCTTTTCTGCTCTGGCGAACCGAAACGTGGATTCCTTGGGGAATAGAAGAGGGAAGTGGTGGGTGAAGCTAGCATTACCTGTACAGGAACAAATCCTTGGCCAGCCATTTGGTCCCCACGATCTTGAAGATGATCTCATAGGTTTCTAGGGCTTTTAAGTGCACGCCACTGGGCAAGGCGGGATGCAGGCACTGGGCTAATCTCTTGCTGATGACTAGCCGCCTGGGCAACAGGGAGTATCTCAGGTTACTCTGCAGAGCCTGGAAAACGAGAGGAGAGGCAGGTGAGGGAGAAGATGGTGACGCGGACAGAGGCGCACGCAGCCACTGAGGCCGGGAAGAACCCAGCAGGCCGCAGCATGGGTGTAAGAGGCAGGATGTGAGCGGACAGGAAGACACACGGATAACTCTGGAGGGCTCAGGGTCCAGGGCTGCGAGCCAGTGTCGGGGAGACGGGGCTGGGGGAGCCCCTGGCATTGCTGGAGGGGACGCAGGGCATGGATTCAGGACTGGGGGAGACCCTGTGTCCCTTCAACAGAGAAGGAAATGGTGACCCACTCCAGCACTCTTGCCTAGAAAATCCGATGGACAGAGGAGCCTGGTGGGCTTCAGTCATGGGGTCGCAGAGACAGACACGACTGAGCACGCTGTACGTGCGTTCCCTTCAAACGGCCTCTGTCTCCATCAGGCCAGCTTCCTGTGAAGCCGCATGCTTCTGTCTGCGGAAGCCTCGAGTCTACACCCGCGACCAAGCAGAACACAGACCTCCCCGTCCCCGAGAAGAGCCCTGTGTGTGAGCCGCCGAAGGCCTGCATTTCCCATCAACCTCCCAACTCACGGCCCAACCTCACGGCCAGGTGTTCTGAGTGCGGGTCGGGGGGGCGCCCAGCAGAGATGGGGAGCCATGTGCTTCTAGGCCAGGACTCCCGGCTTCTTCGCCAGTAAGTTCCACAGGAGGAAGTCAGATCCCTGCTGGTGTGGGATGACAGTCTCCACTCCCACCCCGAGCAGGCCTCCTCCAGCAGGACACGGGCCTATGTGTGCGCTAAGTCGCCCAGTTGTGTCCAGCTCTTTGCAGCCTCATAGACGGTACCCCGCCAGGCTCCTCTGTCCATGGGACTCTCCAGGCGAGAATACTGGAGTGGGTTGCCACGCCCTCCTCCAGGGGATCTTCCCCACCCAGGGCTCGAACTCCTGTCTCTTGCGGCTTCTATATTGGCAGGCAGGTTCTTTACCACTAGCGCCAGCTGGGAAGCCAGGACTGTGGACCTGGTCTGTGCTAGGGCGTCTCTGGGCGTTCACTGCACCTGAGAAATACGGTGGGTGGACTTCCTCCTAACAGGGCCATGCTGTTCCTCACAGCATCGAGTGGCCGCTCCGAGAGCACTGGCTGGGTCCTCCTGACTCAGTCTTATACACCAAACGTCTGCCCTTCCCGTGGAACAATCCACATGACTCACACAAATATTTACTGAAAGCTGACAGGGTGAAGTCTACGCTTCTTACAAAGTCGCTCAAGAAGGCCTCCACGGCGGACTGCAGCCCGATTCACCAGCCCCATCTCTCAATGCTTTAGCTTCAAACTTTCTAACAACACAGGTCCACGGCGGACCCTGCCTGCCCCACGCCGACCCCCAGCAGCTCTGCATGAATGTTCTCCTCACTGGACTCAGCTTAGCACCTACTCAGGGAGGCAGGAGCGCCCCCCCACCCCAGGGCAGGGTGCCCATGGAGCTGTGCTCCGTCGGGTTCCACGTGTCGCTGATGGGCAGTGTGGAGCGAAGCACCATCTGCTCCCGGGCTGAGCTATGTGAGCTGTATGGGGCCGGATCTGCCTTCTTCTCTGCTGTTCTCGAAACCTCTCCCTGCACAGTGACCCCTCCCAAGGCAGACAGCTCACAGGAACATCGCCCGACGTGTGTCAGAGCCGTGTGGTCTCAGGCCCGTGACAGCTTGCTTTCCAGAAGCAAGGAAAATGATCTCAACTCTAACACACACACTGAGGCTATGCAGGAGGTCAAGGGAGAAGGAAAGTGACATTTTCCACCAGAAGCATAGAGTAAACTGAACTCTCAAAATCAATAAAACTACTTCTAAAGAAAAAAAAAACACATCATCTTGAGATCATCAAAAAACACCCTAAAATACTATTTGTAACAGCTGGGTGACTTAAAGGGAAAGCCAACTAGTGTCCTTTAATGTGCTCGTGTTAAAAAAAAAAACAAAAACTGAGTCAGTGACCTGGCATGACGTCCTCTGACAGCAGATGAGAACTGAGGCGTTGAGGCCGAGAGAAGACGACCGTGGGAAGCCCACAGGACAGAGCGCATCTGACAACTTTCGGACACGCAGAAAGGCAGGTGGGATCGGAACGCACCACCCGGGCTCAGCAGGTGCGAGCTGGCCGATCCTGATGACAAGGCTCTTAGGAAACCATGTCTGTGACCCACCGGGCTCTCGATACTTGGGTCCTGGGCCTTCTCCCCGACCCCAGAGGAGGAGAACCAGCTCTGGCCTCGCCTGTTACGTCCGTCAGGCAGAGCTTCAATCTCACTTTTGTTCAGCACAGTCTCAGGACCTCTGCTACTTGAGATGCAGAAGATGGGCTGCCGCTCCTAAGGAGGTCACCTGGGACCCGCAAGTGTTTGTCCACCCCCAGCCCCAGGGCTGTACATCAGCAGGATCTCATTTCTCCACGCTTCTGAACACCGGTGTGGGCACCATGACCTACCCTGGCCAATGAGCTGAGTGGCATCATGTGTCACTCCCGGTAAAGGCTTTAGAAGCCGACTTCAAGGCCCAATGGGTATTGTTTGCCTGCTTCTAAGATTATGGAGACCCCGCCATGAACTGCAGCCCCTCCCAGACTGGGCCTCTGAGAAACTACAGACAGCAGAACCCACCTGCTGAGCCACAGAGGCAGAACTCAACCATGCTGTGAAAACCAGAGCTGTTTGTTTTGGGGAACTGTTCGTTACCATGGCATAACCTCCCCTCTCCTGACTGATACAAATCTTCCCATATAAATGGAATTACAAGGAAGCACAGCTATTCATTCCAAATGAACAAGGCTGGCTGCTATTGCTTTCTCCTTCAAAATTGTTACTCCATTTAATTTTGTTAAAGAAACATAACTGAGAACTGAGACCCTACCAGAACATGTGGAATGAATTGTTCATTGTACTCTGCCCACGCTAACCCAAGCAAACACATCATACCTGAGTCAGGGGTCAGGGCCTCTGAGTGACAGGTACGCTGAAGATGAAGGAAGCTGTCAGATTTGAAGACCAGCAAGAACAGAGAGGACAACAGAATGAGATGGTTGGAAGACATCACCGCCTCAAGAGACATGAGTTTGAGCAAACTCCGGGAGATGGTGAGGGAGAGGGAAGCCTGGCGTGCCACAATCCACAGGGTCACAGAGAGTCAGAAATAACTGAGCAACTAAGAACAAAGGACAGAATCAGACAGTACTTACAAAAACGAGAAGGTGCTCATCCTTTCTGATTAAAAAGAACACAAATTAAAACTTCCGTGAAGTGCTGTTCTTTTCACCCATCAGATTGGCAAGTGAGATGAAAGCACACAGGTTCAGGAGTAGAGCAGAGACACCCAGAGATCATGAACTGGGGTCATCAAGCCCACAGTCAGGATTTGGTCACACAGTATCGGCAAGCTTGCTCCTTGGAGCAGCTATGATACAGACTGCCCTCTGTACCACTCTCATCACAAATAATGGGACTAAAATAGTGCTTGGGCCACAGTGATTTTGTTAACACACTTCTCGCAGAGGCTGGCATTTAATAAGTGCTTCAAAACTGAGGTTACACAAACAATGAGACTGAGGTTATTACAATGCCTGATTTAAGTACGCAAGCTTCAGGGTCATAGTCTGGAATTCAGTTCCATCCTGTTGGGTGAACCCCTTAACCTTTCTGGGCTGCAGTTTCACAGGAATAAAGGGGCCTCACAAGGTTGCAAGCATCATGATATATCACACACAGGGTCTACCGCAGAGTAAGCAATCAACAAGCATCTCCTCTTATTATGACAGTTCAGTTCAGTCAGTCGTGTCCGACTCTTTGCAGCCCCACGGACTGCCACACACCAGGCCTCTCTGTCCATCACCAACACCCAGAGTTTACACACTGAGTCGATGATGCCATCCAACCATCTCATCCTCTGTCGTCCCCTTCTCCTGCCTTGGATCTATCGCAGCATCAGGGTCTTTTCAAATGAGTCAGTTCTTCGCATCAGATTTCCGCTTCAGCATCAGTCCTTCCAATGAATATTCAGGACTGATTACCTTTAGAATTGACTGGTTGGATCTCCTTGCTGTCCAGGGCACTCTGAAGAGTCTTCTCCAACACCACAGTTCAAAAGTATCAATTCTTTGGCACTTAGCTTTCTTTACAGTCCATCTCTCACATCCATACATGACTCCTGGAAAAACCATAGCTTTGACTAGACGGACCTTTGTTGGCAAAATAATGTCTCTGCTTTTTAATAAGCTGTCTAGGTTGGTCATAACTTTTCTTCCAAGGAGCAATCATCTTTTAATTTCATAGTTGTAGTCACCATCTGCAGTGATTTTGGAGCCCCCAAAAATAAAGTCAGTCACTGTTTCCCTATCTATTTGCCATGAAGTGATGGGACTGGAAGCCATGATCTTAGTTTTCTGACTGTTGAGCTTTAAGCCAACTTTTTCACATTCCTCTTACACTTTCATCAAGAGGCTCTTTAGTTCTTTGCTTTCTGCCACAAGGGTGGTGTCATCTGCATATCTGAGGTTATTGATATTTCTCCCGGCAATCCTGATTCCAGCTTGTGCTCCATCCAGTCCAGCATTTCTCATTATGTACTCTGCATACAAGTTAAATAAGCAGGGTGACAATATACAGCCTTGACGTATCCTTTCCCTATTTGGAACCAGTTTGTTGTTCCACATCCAGTTCTAACTGTTGCTTTTTGACCTGCATACACATTTCTCAGGATGCAGGTCAGGTGGTCTAGTATTGAAAGTTCTCCTGCTTATAAAAAGCTCTCTTACTTTTTCAATGATCCAATGGATGCTGGCAATCTGATCTCTGGTTCCTCTGCCTTTTCTAAATCCACCTTGAACATCTGGAAGTT